TCATTTTCTATGCCTTTCTCAGTCATTTGTTTATATAAAATAGATGCCTCGTAAATATCTTTCTGTCGAAGATGAAAAAAGACCAGGGTAGTATAAATATCTTTAGTTGGCTTGATGCCCATGCTGAGCATCTTTTGATAAGTCTTAAATACCATGTCCGTATCATTCTTTTTACTATATCCAGCAATTAAAGAATTAAACATTAAATCATTGGGTGGACCAAAATATTCAGTCATTTCATTCACCAATATTTCAGCTAATTCCATTTCTCCTTTTTTAGCAAGTTTATGAATTATAGTACTATAAAATTTTATTCTAGGTCTCTGGCCTGATAAATTGTATAACCTAAGTACTTCTAAAGCAGAATCAATGTCTTCATTTTCACAGTAAACCTCGATCAATGTATGATACCATTCACAGTCAGCTTCAGAATGACTTACAATAATAGCATCAAGTAACCTGTATGCTGATTCAGCATCAACACATTGCTTCACTATTCCTTTAACATGCGGTCTTTCAATGTAATATCCCAAAGTTGTCATTTGCCTTATAATATCAGATACAATCTTGCAATTTCCTAGTTGCGCCGATAATTTTAACACTCGTACATAAAGAATAGGTCTCATTAAATTCTTTTTACGAAACAAATAAACATCTTTCATGACTTGATCAAGTAATTCAAAAGTCCTATTATCTGGGTTGTCACATAAAAGGTTAAGCAATAAATCCATGTGATCCATTTTCATATGAACTATAAGATCGTTATTTACAATATTTCTATAAATCTCCCAAGCCTTCTCACGATCATTCTTGTAAGAATGTAACCTTTCTATAAGAGTTCTGAACTCATTGAAATCTGTCGAGGCTAGCTTTGTCGATACGAGATTTTTTGTTAGTGTTGAATCGATTGAAATATCATCATCTTTCCTATAATTATTAGATGAAACTTTTCTAATGTGAAGACGAGGGACAAAACTAAAAACTGGTGAAAGACGAAATGTTTCATCAAAATGACGAAACATGAAACCCCTGACGAAAATGATGAAAGGTGACGAAAGACGAAATCCCTGACAAAAAACGAAACTTCTAATAAAAGAAAAGTCGGAACTTCTGCCAAAAGTAAAACCTCTCTTAACATTCATTATGATAAAGAGATCTACTATCAGATGCAGATGGCATTTGATTTGGGTTTCCATCAATAGTTCTGATTGGAATGGAAAATCTTGCTGTTGATTGGACGAAATTAATACGCGTTTAGATTTTTTCGATTCGACATAGAAAGATTAGTTTTTTTGAGGGATCAACATGTTACCTTAAAACCTAAACTGATACCCGTATCTCAGGTTTGCACACGGGAAGTTTGAGTCATTTAAAAAAATACAATAGCTCAAAATTTTACAAAAGGCAGCCTACTTAATTGATTTAAAAAAATAGTTAAAATTTAATTTTGCATGTTTTGTTATTTCTGATATGACTTTAATAATTGAAATATTTCTGAGAGGAACGGGACAAAGCCAAAAGCTTGGGACTGTTAAAATGTATAACGTTTGCTGTATCCTATCACGAATAAACGTCTCTTTTCAATTTTTAAAAGAAAAAATTTCTGTATCTAGTGATTTATCTCAGTAAATGATTCAAATGGTGCCTTAAAAATTGAAAAAGGAGACGCTGATTTACAGTATAGTAAGTGACGTGACTGTTTATATACGTATACATGACTAAACAATTATAGATTCGTCTAATTCACACACCGAACCGAAAGTCAAACTAAATAAGAAGGAAAAAATCATTGATATATTAAAAGAAATATAAAAACCAGTATCTCATAAATATTGTCTATACTCACCAGTGCATATTTCTACTTTCATTGCTAAGTAATTCACCGTAAAATTTTAATATATGGGTTTTGCCTTGAAAATCATTTCTGATCGGGTTAATTCGGACAAATACAAATCCGTATATTAGTTCACGTTTATATTTGAATCTCTTTTTGCTATGCCGCTTACAAAATTATCAATGCAAAGTGTATTAGTCATTTTAAACTTTTATATATTAATAATTAACTCGAGTACTCGCGAGTTAACAATCTTATGATTCAGACTCAGTCACGGGTTGACGAGTCCAGCCTCTAAACTACAGTATACAGTATAAAAACTACATAGAAAATCTAATAATTTTTACTATATATCATAATATTTGATTCGTTTTATTCTCATCAAACATTATATATATATACTGTATACCCTCACAAAAACATCTACTAATTTTAATTTGATGTATATATTCTCTATCCAATAACCACCTTAGCACTCATACTTCCTTAATGTTTAATATATTATATTTTTTAGTTCTTACTAAACTTCCTGCTCAGACACGCACAAACACTTGTTCACAAAAAATGAATCTTTTTTAACCAAATGCTCCCAACTCCATAAATTTTTACAAAGCTACTCCAGTCCAAGAATAGACAATTACCAACATAATTAAATATTATCATAGAGAGTTGAATATACAACTTGAGCTATCTAAAATTCTGGACAACACAAAGAAAAATCTTTACAATGTGACAGATATTAAGTCTGGTTTAGACGACACGTGTAGAATAAAAGCTTGAGAGCTTATCAATACTTGGAAGGTAAGCTGATAATTTTTATGGGGTTTAGTTTGCAGTAAGGAATAAGAAGGGTCTGAAACTATTAGTTTACAGTGGTAACCTTAACTATTCATTGAGTGTAGGGGCTATTAGTCTGAACTTCCTTTTATTCTTTTGGGAGGAGCTGAAACTATTGGTTTACAGTAGGAACCTTGACTATTTGTTGAGTGTGGTGGGCTATTTGTCCAAACTCCTATTGGTATTTTAGTTGAAAACTTTCGTTATAGAATAAATTACTAACTATATTATATTTTATCAAGATCTGGACTGTTTCAGTGAAGAAAGCATCTAAGACAAATAGAGTACACAAAAGGATTGGAGTTGTGTGAGTTAAACAACAGCTTAACATAATCAAGAATTCTGCAAGTCAAATTAAACTATTTCAGAAACAATTTATTCATGATAGTCAAAAACATACTAAACAGATGAATGATAAACAGACGGATAAAGAAACATTGAATAAAGTATATATTGATATTTTTTATCATTTTTTTTTTCAAAGTTGGAAGCTAATTCTATTAGGGTGGTGACATATATTACGTAATTACTGTCTATTGTGGTATATATGATTTAGATAAGGCTACGTTAATTTTGTATTG